GGAGGGAGGGAGGGGAAAGAGAAAGAAGTGAGAAGGGGGAGGGGGGACGGGAGCGGGGGTTGCAGGACTCCACTTATATGAAACCTGCATCAGTTAAATTCATAGACAGAAAATAAAATGGTGGTTGTCAAAGCAGGGAGTGGGGGATGGGGGTTTTAACAGTTTTGTTTAGGAAAATGAAAAAAAGTTCTGGAGTTGGATCGCGGTTCTGGTACCGCAGAACAAATGCATTTAACGCCACCCACCTGAACACTAAAAATGTTTGAAACAGTGAATTCTGTTCTGTATGTTTTGCGGGTTTTTTTTTTTTTTAACTTTGGTCTTTTTGAGACAGGGTCTCCCTGTAACCCCAGCTGGCCTGGAACTCACTATGTAGATCAGGCTGGCCTCAAACTCACAGAGATCCGCCTGCCTCTGCCTCCCAAGTGCTGGGATTAAAGGTGTACTCTACCGCGCTCAGCTTTAAGTTCGTAACTTTAAAAATCATGATGATATGATGTGTGCCCATCAGGACTGATAACTGAAATCTGGGGACTCATATAATACCACAGAACTGAAAAACGTGAGGTTGAGCCATGTGTGCTGGCTGAAATCAAGGCACTTTGGTGGGGGATGGGGGGACACAGAATACACAGCACACACTGCACTGACCGTCCCTGGAAATTACCCCAGGGCCTTCAGGTTGTGACTGGCTCTTCAGAGTGAGTTCAAAGTGAGTTCAGGACCTGTCTACCAAAAAAATAATCAATTTAATTTTAAAATACTCCTCTAAATTATCCAGTCAGGAACAAATGGGAAGCAGTGCCTGGAGCCTCACGCCCCATCTCCAGGGACTGTCAGAGGGTGACAGAACAGAGACAGAAGGAGATGGAGTAGGGACCAGGTGTCCGGCGTGTGGCTCTTAAAAGTGTCAAATATTTAACGATCTGTCTCCTACTGAAGCAAAAACTACTGAGTCCTTGCCCCCAAATACACTGCATTTGAGAAAAATTTAGTATTCTGTAATTCACTTTTAATGTTGCATTCAGCGACAATTTACCCTCTATATAATTTTAGTTTTTAATTTTGATTCTTTTTTGAAGATTTTTCTAACTTCTTAGTTCCCATGTGGAACCTGTGATAACTGTCACGTGTGTCCTCTTGTTTGTACACAGGAAAATGTAGAGATTGGAGTTGTTTTTTAAAAAGAAAATAGCCATTTTGAAAGAATCACAAGAACTAATTCACACAAGGATGAGCATCCCTGTTGCCAACCCACCAGCTCCTCCACCCTATTTCTCAATTTCTCTTCAAGACACAATGTCTGGCTTTGCTTATTTGCAAATAAAAACTGGGTTTTGATTTACTTACTAATAAAATTCATATCTTTTATAAGACAGTTTTTAACCAAAAAATCCTGATTCCAAGTTCACAGCTGACTGTAAGTTTTCAAGAGTCCACACGGTGGCGCTAGACACCTGTGGTCCAAATGTGTAGCCAAAACGGGGTTAAAGAGCCACTGGCAAAACCAAGATTAAAAATTAAAGCTAATATGAAAGTCATCTTGCTCCTGTCTGGAGCGAAGGCTGCCAGCCAAAACACGTTGGAAGCACTAATCACACCTTAAAGACTTACCCAAAGGCCAGGCTGGCGCTCACAGCTCTTCGGAGTCCCCTGCAATGGCAGGTTTCTGTCTACTTTTCTGGACTTCCTGCATCACAGGCCCTTCACCTTAAAGGCATTTCCAGAGGCCCCCCCCCCACCTTGTTGGTGGGCCGAGCTGTACATACACATGTATGTGAGGCATTTGTATTTGGAAGAACCAAGAACTCACAGTCACAACCCTGTTAATATTTCCATTTGACAATCGTAAACTGTTCATCTTTTAAAACATTAGTTCTCAACAGTTTATGAGCATCTCACAAATAGGAATAAATAAATCTTGGTGAGTTGAGCTTCCATTCAAATAGTAAGTCTTAAAACTCACCACAAAAAGATCTGTGTGTGCCCCTCACAGTCTCCTATCAGCCTGGGATAGTCCGTTGCTGGCCTCTTACACACAAGCAATTGTAAAAGGCCTAGCCCTTCGTCCTGAATAGACTGTCGGCCAACAAACATGCCTAGGAGATGCCTCGGAAAGCAGCCTGGTAAATCTCTGGTCAGGGGCTTTTGTGCTGCACCTCACCACTTTCTTTCAAGCTCACAATCTCTTGAAGATTATTTAATAACGTGTGCCATTGCCTTGAGTTTTTTACTGCGGAAGTTCAACAGGATCCATTCTCTTCATTCAGAAACGTTTTTCCAGGCGAGCGCAAGAATTTTTCCCACGGCTGCAAGTGTATGTGTCCTGCATCCCGATTTCAAGAAGCCTTCACAGTCATCTTAAACCTATAAGCTACTTTTTCAAGTGAGCATTTAAATTCAAAAGTATGCTGCCTATAAACCATAGAGCTCTGAGGACATCTCAATAGTAGATTGAATTAAAAATTGATTATATCTGTAACCCCATTTTATATGTGAAGCACCCAAAAGATTAATGAGCATCTGCTTTCTAATGTGTTTCTTTCCAGAAGCGGTATTTGGAGTTCTTCTAAAGCCATTTTCTCAGACTTTGAAGGGAACATAAATATTAAAGGACATCAATAAAACCGAGAATACATACCCATTGCAATCTAGCTCCAGTGCTGAGTAGGGAGAGGCAGTGTGGGTGGCCAGGCCAATTTCACAGCAAGTCTGAGAATTCAGTGTTCTGCCCAGGGTATGAGTGGCAGAGCACGCACCAACATGGCTGGGCACCCCACAGGCCTTGACCACAGTATGGGAACAACGCCCCAGTGCTAATCACTTACCTTGTCCCTTGATTTCCAACTCATAAACAAACAATTTTCAGACAAGACTCAGAAACTGTTTTATTAAACTGAACACAAAAAGCCTGTTACAATACTGTAAAGCCTTTATCAGAAACCAGTACATAAGAATACACAGCCAAGATGAGCCATCAACATAAGCAGAACAGGTTTTAAATAACGTCCACACCTCTATATTTAATAAGCTGAAGAAAATGAAACCCAAAGGCAATTTCAACTTCACAATTCACAGTTGGTTGGTTTGAATCCCGTCACATGTCGGCTTTGTTGCCCAGAACAAAAGATACCCGAGGCGAGGACTGGCCCATTACCCCGCGGTGTGCTCAGACCCTAAACCCCGAGGCACATTACATGGCACAAGCCCAGTTTCCTAGTTTGGGCTGGCGCTCAGCTGTCCTTTACCAAGGGTCCTAGTGGAACAGCATGTGATAAAAGGAAGGGTTCTAAACTCCCTCCGAGTGTCTCATTTCATTTCTAATTTAAGTCAGTAACTGCATTAAAATGTAACCTTGACAGTGAAAGCAAGATCAGTTCTGCCTGTGGACGGCACACACATCCCAGAGAGAACACACAGCGTCACAGCAGACGCCAAAATGCTTGACTGAACCCAGTAAGGCATTTCGAGGATGACACACACCCAGGCCAGGTCATAGTGGTTGGTTGAGGGGACCAGAGGTGAACACAGAGTCAACATGGATTCTTACAGAACAGCACACTGGCTTACAGAACCACAGAAAGGTCTTCAGGTACCAGACACCGACAACAACCAGCCATCCAAAGAGGTTTGTTCCCAAGTATGGGCTTTGCCCTAGACAGCATCACTTACCCTGATATAGGGAGTCGCTTTCCTTTAAAAAAAAAAAATCAGGTAGAGTGTGCATGAGAGGATGCTGTTTTCACCTGGTCACTCAGCTGGTCAGTCAAGAGAGCCGCTGAAAGGCAAAAAGAGTCTGACAGACCTGCGTTTGTTGGTGTTCAACGAGGCAGTAAGATTGTAGTAGTTGCCTGGAACTTAAACACTATGATTATAGCCTAGTATGGTGGTGCACGGCTGTCATCCAACACCAGGAAGAGGAGGCAGGCGGGTCAAGGATTCAAGATCATCCTCAGCTACGTAATGAATTCAAGACCAGTCTGGGCTACATGAGACTTCACAAAACAACACAACTGACCATAAGATTACCTTTGTGTTAAAAGAAATGTGACATGCCCAACAACAAAAGTCTAAGCAGTAAAAGTACATATGGTTCTTTTAAGGGCCCAAAGGAAGTGATCAGTCTTTTAAAAACCTAAAATCCAGCTCTGATTGGGTGCTACCCATGGAATCTCCCTGACCTGGAAGAGATCAGTTCAGGTCTGTAGACCCAGGACGTAGACACAAAGGTAAAGGCATACGTCAAAGTTTGTCACAGCGTGACTGGAGTAAAGCTACGACAGCTGATGAGGCTTGGTCCCGACGGCCCACCGCGCAGTACCGCCGGGCAGTACTGCGGGAGGACTGGCGGAGACAGTGCTCTGAGGAGTCAGCACAAACCCCTGAGCTACATTAGCAGTTTCCACTCTGTGAAGAAGCAAACCCGTGTGGAGTTGCTGGGAACACCTAGGTGCCAGCGGGCTGAGCCTTCCCCTCTGCCTCCTGATGGAACAGCTGAGTGGAAGGGAAGGAGAAGAGAGCATACCTACAGAGAGGAAGCCAGCGCTGAGGCTAGACCCCACGCAGCAACTCACAGCTCTGAAGAAACTGCTCAGCTCGGCCACACACCAGAGGGTGAAGGGAAAGTTCATATCCTGGAACCGTGAAACTCAGAACAAGCTGGGATTTGGGACACCGAGCCCAGGAAACTTCCCTTTGGAGAAGGATTCACCTTCCTTCGCTCCAGGCACACTCAAGAACGGAAACGAGAAGACTGAAGTAAGTCCACAGGCGGAGACAAGAACGTTCACTGGCTCAGTCATCCTCCTCACACACGGCTTTCCCAGAACATTAACACTTGAACTAACGTCAACCCCAGTGAAAGACACCAGGAGCGTGCACAGTCTGACACTTACATTTGGTGTGCGTCCTGATGGACAGATAGATAAATACAGTGGCAGGCTTGTAGGTAGATACGTGGAAATAATTGGGGAAATGCGGACAAAAGACTGTGGTGGGTATACTGTTAAATGTTTTCAACTCTGACAAACGTCTGGAATTTTTCATAGTAAAATGCTGAGGAAAGAGGTCCTACTCCTAACCAAAACTGCATTAGCTATGTGTTCGAAAGATTGAAGACAAAGGAAATTTGGTTTTCAATAAACTGAAGTAAAGAAATTGTCATTTTCAAAGGTCTCAGCCTGGGAAGAAATCTCCGTCCATTAGAGACGAAACAGCATGATCCAGGCTTTTGTGCCAGCAGACTCTGAATACACTTTATTCGCAAATACATAATTCTCTCCTCTCTACAGAAAAACCCAGTGGGAAAAAGATCAGTGTAATGAAGAATTTCCCCACACCAGCGTGCAAGCTCTCCAACACCTCCACACTGTTGTTGATTCAATACAAATGTGACACACCAAGGTGACAACGCCCAGCCTCACACAACTAGTTCTTCTCGGGGTACGCAATTCTTCATCAATGGTAACAGTTTTACCCAACAGTACATCGAGACTGCATTAAGAAAGAAAGAAAAAGATGTAGAACAGAATTCACACAGACCTTTGTTACTTCAAGCTTTTATGAACTGTGGTTTATGGCAGAAACTCTCTCATCTCTACCTTCCAGGAAACGCTAACACTTGCTAAAGGCACTCGGATTCTGGGCTTAACGGACACAAGGCCACATGGGACCATAAGCCAGGACTTTTTTTGGTAGCTACAGAGAAAGGGAGTTCACACACAGTCTCCACTGACCATGGGAGGAAGCACCACACAGCTATCTGTGGAAATGTCTCAAAAGGGGCTACTTACACAGCTACATCCGCTCAGCCACACCGACAGCAACAGAGCGCACAACGGTTCCCCCACGGAGCACAAAGAGAACAAAACTCTTTTTATTACACATGAAACTCTTAGAATTTAAGAAAAAAAAATGGGTAAGGTGGAATTTCTTAAAACATCTGTTCAAATATCTACATTAAGGTTTTGCCTGTACCAACAGAATATTCCTGATTTCTAAAGATGCTCTACGTCCTGGATGCATGCCACACCAAGCTCTCTAACAAATACTTCCAGCCTAAGTTCTGACAATTATAGAACAAAGTAGGTTAAACTCCAAACTCACTGTTCTCAGCCCCCCTGCAGAGAAAGCACTGTGTGACAGTTAAGGATCTCTCCTGGCTTGTTTCTATAGGTCACTGATGGTCCTCAGACTGTCATTGCTCACAGGCCCAGGCAACTCAGGATGAAGGAGTCCTGAGTCACACTGACAGCCCTCAGACTCTAACCACACAGGAAGACTTAGCCATGTAAGCATTTATATGCAGATACATATACGTGTAAATTTTTTCTCTTCTGGTTCAAATTGTAGACTGCTAGCTACAAGCAAGCAGAAAGTTCTACAAACCAGCTCTGTGAGGTGAGGCAGAAGATCTCACATCTCCCAGTCGCCTTGGAAATCACGGCACGTGGAAGATCTCAGAGTCCTACATTCAGTGTCAGACTTCAGAACTCCTCGATGATTTTCTAAACTCACCAATGAACTGAAAATGAACGTGGTAAAGAGGCTTCAAGATGAACGGTATAAAAAATATTCACCCTGCAGAATTCAGTGTGTGAGAGAAAGGCAAGCATAACAAACAACAGGCACATATTTACAAGTTGCAAGACACCAACCATCCAAGACCAACAAAGAATTTTCTGTTCAGAGTCAAGGGCCATGGGACACAGTTTTATAACTGAACTTCAAAAACTAAAATATGAAGGCATATGGAATCCAAATCTTTTAGCTGAAACACAGAACTTGCCCCTCACAACCTCTTGTTCAGTATCATAGAAGAGTCTGTGGTTCCCTTCACTGCTTTGCAATGACGACACAGATACACACAAGAACAGACTTTGAAGCTATAATTCTTATCGATGAAACTGAAATCTGCTTAATTTTGGCCTAAGGTTCTCCTTTGTTTAGGCTTCTGCCCTCCCCCCATGTCTGTGAGAGACCGTGAGACACATGATCCCTGGGGCAAATCCCAGAGTGTGTTGTAGAATAGGATGGGACTTCACAAAAGGAAATCAGAGATCTCACTGTGCTGACACAGGCCGCCACAGCTTGCTCTAACAGGGCAGGCACACTGTCCACAGTACACATGGGGAGAAATCACACCACGCAGCCATGACAGCCTGTGTCATCCTCCATCCCACCTGTGGACCACAGGAGAACAAAGCAAGATCACAGCCCACAGCACCACCTAGTGCCAGGTTCTGTGGGGTGCTTTAGACATACACATAACCTCTAAATTATTCATCAAGCTTGAGAGTTTGGAAACTAGAAACAAATTGAGCTATTGTAGGGCAGCCTGGCACTGGAGTGTCATATAAAACAAGCACATCACTCTTTTTTTTAGTGCAAAGAAAAATAGAAATAACACTATAAGTCTAGCGTCTTTCTCCAGAAGAAAACACACTTATCCCTAACATCCATTAAGGGCACTGGGGAGACTAGAAACCTGAATTCACGGGGCTTAGAAACTCTTCAAGCCCTCAAGTCCACTGTTTTTTGTATACACAGGAGGAAATAGTTAAAGGGGAAGCAGGGAAGCACGTCTTTTGACTTTACTCCCAGAGGAAATGCTCAAAGTAGATGAACGCCACTTTTATAAAATATAGATTCATATCCAGAATCTTTCAATGTTATCTGAGATAAAGATGCAATGAAGTTCTCTCTAGGGTATCACACAAAACAGGGGAGGCGGGCATGTATATACAGACACAAGCACAGAGGCACACACAGACACACCCCTAGAGAGAGAGAAAGTGAGATTGTTAAGCAATCACAGAACCAAGTGGCCGGCACTGTATTTAAATCTACCAAGGAATTATACTTAGCAGCAATATGAGCAACCAAATGGCCAGTAAGATAAGCCCTAAATTGCCCTAAACTAACAGGCTCTAGAGAGCAGAAGAGATGCTAAGATGTTGCAGACAGACTGAATCTTGAGAGCATATTACCTCATTCTGCTGTTTCCAGGAGAAAAATACTTTGCCAAATAATTCTACTTTCTAATAAACCACCACAGCAAGCCAGGGCTGTCCTAGAAGCGACTCACAGCTCTAACTCTTGATTGCGGTTCTCAGCTGTTCAGAAACCGATCTGACAACTGGAAGGAAGGATGGTCATTCCCTCCTCTCCATCCGCCAGGGAAGTCAAGGAGTTTTCATTGGTGACTTAAGCAAGCAAATGTGCATTTCCAATAGTGCAAATTACTGCTCAGTATGAACTTCCCACAGAATGTGGTCCTCTCAGAGAAGTCCAGGGTTGGCATCTTAGCCTCATGAACAGTGAGGAGGAGGAGCCCAGTGAATGGAGTTCACATACTAGTCCACGGGTCAACCCAGACAGACACTACGGCTTTTCATTTAAAAGTAGGGATACCACTGTGGTCGTCAGACACCAAAGTCGCCCGCACTTCTGGTTTCTTCCAGGAAGCAAAGAAGGAAAGCAATGCTCCTGCACCCGTCTGCTGGGAAAAGACACTGAAATTTGATCAGTCTTCAAAACAAAGAATTTGCTGTGAAATAACAGAGAGTGATGTGTTGGGGAGAAAGCCAATCAACTGGTGGGACAGTGTTAGAATGGGACCATCTAAAAGCCACCAAATTACATGAACTTTGGACTGAGACAATCCCATGAGTTCACGTTCCTATCGTTAGAAACATAATTCCAAATCAGAAAGTCAGGCACACCCCTGCACTTCCTAAAATCAGCTGAAAATATACTTTGTTAAGGATGACCATCTTTAACCATTTGATAGTCAGATCTGGGTCTCAGAGACCCCACAGCACAGCTTGAGCTGAGCAGATGAGCTGACCCAACTCAGAGGAGGAGGAGGAGAGAAGAGGGTGGGGTTACGGTGTGGAACACACAGTGGAGGTGAAGCTATCAGCTTGGAAAAACAACAGCACAGAAGTGTCTGAATTCAGTTTGCTGATGGCGGGACACGGCACAGGGAAGCAAAACCACTGGGAACAGAGTGCAGAGCAAACAGCGCATCCTCCTGACACCGCACAGCGGTGACGGTGCCCCGAAGCGTCAGGAAACAGAAATCTCTGCTTGCACGTTTTCACTATAATCCAAGGAAGAACTCGAAACGATTCTTCAGCTAACAGTGCAGAAGACAAAAGTTCCAAAGGGAGATGCCGTTTTTAAAGAGTCACAGGTTGACATGAGCAGGAGGCACTAGTCAGCTGGAACTTGGCCACAATGAGGGCTATGTCTGATGATGGGTAGGTCACATGCTGTAAGTCACCCACCATAATGGGGGGGGGCAGCATCCTCACCTAAGAAGCATAGCTCCCTCCCCCTGCCCCGACTTGACCTCTCTGGGCACCACTTGAGGTTGCTCATATTAACATTTAGCAGAGGGATGTACGCATCGAGGGCCCACAAAGCAAGGCAAGTCGACAAAAGGCAAACGTGGGCAGGGCCAGCAGCTTGGTGGGCGCGCCCATCACTGTACATAGCCCAGGTTCTCCATCTCGCTGCGGTACCGCTGTTCAGACACCTTGCTTTTGTGCTGCTTGCTCTCCAAGTGCTGCCGGAACTCCAATTCTTCACCAGCTCCGACGTTACACATGGAGCAGTAAAACTGGCCACTTGGAGTGACGCACATGGCGAGGTCCCGAGGGATTCTCTGCCGAGAGCGGGGATTGAAGTAAGGACCTGCTGAAGCAAGAGAGGAAAGGGTGGTCAAGGGAGGGGGAGACAGCTCGACGGGTGGTCAGGGAGGGGGAGACAGCTCGACGGGTGGTCAAGGGAGGGGGAGACAGCTCGATGGGGGGTCAAGGGAAGGGGAGACAGCTCGATGGGGGGTCAAGGGAAGGGGAGACAGCTCGATGGGGGGTCAAGGGAAGGGGAGACAGCTCGATGGGGGGTCAAGGGAAGGGGAGACAGCTCGATGGGGGGTCAAGGGAAGGGGAGACAGCTCGATGGGGGGTCAAGGGAAGGGGAGACAGCTCGATGGGGGGTCAAGGGAAGGGGAGACAGCTCGATGGGGGGTCAAGGGAAGGGGAGACAGCTCGATGGGGGGTCAAGGGAAGGGGAGACAGCTCGATGGGGGGTCAAGGGAAGGGGAGACAGCTCGATGGGGGGTCAAGGGAAGGGGAGACAGCTCGATGGGGGGTCAAGGGAAGGGGAGACAGCTCGATGGGGGGTCAAGGGAAGGGGAGACAGCTCGATGGGGGGTCAAGGGAAGGGGAGACAGCTCGATGGGGGGTCAAGGGAAGGGGAGACAGCTCGATGGGGGGTCAAGGGAAGGGGAGACAGCTCGATGGGGGGTCAAGGGAAGGGGAGACAGCTCGATGGGGGGTCAAGGGAAGGGGAGACAGCTCGATGGGGGGTCAAGGGAAGGGGAGACAGCTCGATGGGGGGTCAAGGGAAGGGGAGACAGCTCGATGGGGGGTCAAGGGAAGGGGAGACAGCTCGATGGGGGGTCAAGGGAAGGGGAGACAGCTCGATGGGGGGTCAAGGGAAGGGGAGACAGCTCGATGGGGGGTCAAGGGAAGGGGAGACAGCTCGATGGGGGGTCAAGGGAAGGGGAGACAGCTCGATGGGGGGTCAAGGGAAGGGGAGACAGCTCGATGGGGGGTCAAGGGAAGGGGAGACAGCTCGATGGGGGGTCAAGGGAAGGGGAGACAGCTCGATGGGGGGTCAAGGGAAGGGGAGACAGCTCGATGGGGGGTCAAGGGAAGGGGAGACAGCTCGATGGGGGGTCAAGGGAAGGGGAGACAGCTCGATGGGGGGTCAAGGGAAGGGGAGACAGCTCGATGGGGGGTCAAGGGAAGGGGAGACAGCTCGATGGGGGGTCAAGGGAAGGGGAGACAGCTCGATGGGGGGTCAAGGGAAGGGGAGACAGCTCGATGGGGGGTCAAGGGAAGGGGAGACAGCTCGATGGGGGGTCAAGGGAAGGGGAGACAGCTCGATGGGGGGTCAAGGGAAGGGGAGACAGCTCGATGGGGGGTCAAGGGAAGGGGAGACAGCTCGATGGGGGGTCAAGGGAAGGGGAGACAGCTCGATGGGGGGTCAAGGGAAGGGGAGACAGCTCGATGGGGGGTCAAGGGAAGGGGAGACAGCTCGATGGGGGGTCAAGGGAAGGGGAGACAGCTCGATGGGGGGTCAAGGGAAGGGGAGACAGCTCGATGGGGGGTCAAGGGAAGGGGAGACAGCTCGATGGGGGGTCAAGGGAAGGGGAGACAGCTCGATGGGTGGTCAAGGGAAGGGGAGACAGCTCGATGGGTGGTCAAGGGAAGGGGAGACAGCTCGATGGGTAGTTAAGGGAGGGGGAGACAGCTGGTTGGGTGGCCAAGGGAGGGGGAGCATGCTCGATGGGAGGCGAAGGGAGGGGGAGCCAGCTGGATGGGTGGTCAAGGGAGGGGGAGACAGCTCGATGGGTGGTCAAGTGTTTGCCCCACATGCACAAGAACCTGAGTTCAGATCCCCAGCACCCATGTAGAAGCCAGGCACGGTGGCCTGTGTCTGTACCCTCAGAACCGGGGAGTTACAGACAGAAGAGCCTGGGGACTCACTGGCCAGCCTGCCCAGCCAATCAGTAAGCTCCAGGCTCCGAGAGAGACCCTGCCTCAAAAAATAAGGTGAGGGGTGATTGAGGAAGACGCCCAACACTTGACCTCTGACCTTTACATACACATGTACACACACACACACACACACGTATATAACGCATGCAAACGCATGCAAACGTGTACATAATGCATATTCAAACACACACAAAGATACTTTGAATGTTTACTGAGTAAGGAAACCCCACCAATTCGCATCGTAATCAATATTTCTAAAGTCATATTATAGAATTTACAGATTCTTAACTTTAAATGAAGTAAAAGAATCGGTTTTTTTTGTCGTTGTTGTTTTTTGTTTTTTGTTTTTTTTGAAGCTACGAGTCTATGCAGGTTCAATCTGCACAGATAAAATGATTCTCCAGTTACTGCCAGGATGACGACTACAGCAGCCCAAGCTCCAAGTGGTTGTGACTCTTAAGTGAATACAATTTTTAAAGATTTATTTTTATTTTATGCGTACAAGTGTTTTGCCTGAATGTATGTATGTGCATCATGTGCATGTAGTGCCTACAGAGGTCAGAAGAGGGCATTAGACTCCTAGAACTGCAGTTACAGATGGTTGTAAGCCACCATGTGAGTGCTGGGAACCAAACACAGGTTCTCTGGAAGAACAGTAAGTACTCTAACTGCAGAGCCACTGCTCCAGCCCATGAAGACAGTTTTTAGAAGTCTTTAATCAAAGATGATGGCTCACGCCTGTAATCCAGCATTTGGGAGGCTGAGACAGAAGGATTATTTGAGGCCAGTAAGGACAAAATAGGAAAACTGTGAATATAAAAAAATAAAAATAAACAAAAACTGTGTTAATGCGTCATTCCCAAAATTCTTCTCCTAAGAATCATCCTAAGAAAACATTAAGTTTTTGCACAGAGATTTAACAGCAAGGACACCTGCCTTAGCAGGTTTTATAAGAGTGAAATCCAAGAAGAAACTTTCAAAGATTACAGTCCTGACTACAATGGAAATTGCCGAGTAGGGTGAGGCTGCAGCTCAGGGTAGAGCACTAGCCTAGCACGTGGTAGCCCTGGTTCCATCCCCAGTACCACCAAAACAACAAAGCACAACAAAAACCTATGTAGTCACTAAATACAATGTACAGGAAACTATTATATAAAAACAGGAGTGGTAGGAAGGATCAGTGGTGAAAACACTTGCCACACGAGCCTGATGACCTGAGTTCCAGCTATGGACTCCACATGAAGGGGAAGGAGCGAAACGAATCTGGAACACCATGGCACACACACTGCACGCACGCACACACACACACACACACACACACACACACACAATAACAATAAAATATAATTTAATTACATGAAAACACGATTACACTATGCTATTAAGTAAGCCAAGAATATCATAAAATATGATCCTATCTATTGAAAAGAACCATAAATATGACGAGCAGACGATGTTTACAGAGCTGCTGGTGACACCGATCTTATTACATGACTTTTACATGACTGAAGCTCTAATAATAATTATGTAATGCTTTTATCAAAAACAATTTTCACTACATCCTAAAAGTTTTTTGTCTTTTTTTTAATACTTTTAACTTGTTTATCTGTGCATGTGTGAATACATGTGGGGTGCGTGTGCCATGGACTCCACGTGGGTATCAGAGGACAACTTGTGGAAGTCGGTTCTCTCCTTCCACAATGTGAGTTCCAGGGATGGAGCTCGGGATGTCAGGTCTGGAAGCAAGCGCCTTTACCATAACGTTGAGCCATCGCCCAGGCCTGTCCTACGAGGTTTAATATGATATTTTCATTACTGTTTGGTTCTGAGTATGATTTCTTTTTTGAACCAGGAGTCATTTAGAAGCCTTTCACTGGACAAACAGGAATTGTCTTTGTTTGTGTATTTTGTTACTGACATCTCCTTTCACTGTTTTCTAGTCAGAGAACACAATCCACCTTCAGCCTCAAATTTACTTTTCCTGACTTTATACAGCCATGTGAGGCTGCGTCGTTGGAGTGAGCTTTTCTTAATCTAGTCTGATAATCTTTATTTTAACTGACTCTAGTAACTTAACGTTTATCATAACTAGCAGTGTCTTTTGATTGCTAACTCGTACTGATTTTTTTCTATACCTTTTTAATCTTTTTATTAGTCATCTCTTGCTGAGTGAACTTTGATTTTCATTTTACAAACCAGCACATGCAGTGCTGAGGAGCCAGGAAGCACTTCCAGGAGGGTGTGGCTCTACACTGAACTCAGTCATCACAGGCAGCAGGGAAGCACTTTCAAAGCATTCATGTACCTAAGTGTACAGCCAAATGTACTGACTGAAGACCAACAGGTCAGGCCTGTGAATTTCGTCAGAACTCTCTGGATAATTCTGATTTGTCACCTGATTAAAAACCACCTCTACATTTTATAATTTCCCCAGTAAATGGAAATTGAACATGGTGTGTCTTTAAACCAAGAAGCCGTGTGTGTTGGGTGTGTGTGTGTGTGTGTGTGTGTGTGTGTGTGTGTGTGTAGAGTCCCTAGGTCAACATCAGGTGTCTGCCTCTATGACTCTTCACCTTACATGTTAAGATAGGCGTCTCACTGAACCATCGCTCAATGATTCTGCTAGGCTGGCTGGCCCACAAGCTCCAGGGACACACCTACCTCTGCCAGGGGTTACAGGTAAGTACTGCTGCACCTGCTTTTTACATGCATGCTGGGGACCAAACTCAGTCCCCATGGTTACTTATCACACACTGTACTAACCAAGCCAGCCAAACCTCCAAGAAGCCCATTTATAATGTGCTTTACATATTTCAGCCTGCAAATATCAGAGAAAAAGCGTCCAAGAACTGTAATAAAAGACCCTATAATGCTATGATTTAAAGCTAAAATGAATATGCTAAACAGGAAATAAAGACCAGAAATAAACACCAGCCTGGAAAACCAGAAGAGCAAATCTTCAAAACAACTAACCCAGTTTCTCAGGGAAATCTACTGCTGTCAAAGGAAATAAAAATGAAAGCGATCATTTGAAAAATGCGTGTGGAAATTTCCAAGGTATGACTATGTACAGGACGCCATGCACAGGATACCTGAATTGTTCTGCACTGCATACATGTTCCTCCTGCTGGGCATCATCTTAAATTCATTCCCTTCTTTCCGGGGCCTTCTTTGACTCGCCTCTGAGGAGTCCCTGGAGAAAACAAATCTGAAAGCGTGAGACTTCCAAACAAGGCTCCCTTTCAACCCTTCCTTTAAGCACAGTTGGTCTCACATAACAATTCGGCCTCAGAGACGACGGTAATACGTACGAGAATGCGTTACCCTGAGCCTCAGCCAGTCGCAGCCTCTTGGCATGGTTCTTGCCTTGATAGTGGGCCTGTGCCACCGCCGGGGAGCTGAAGGAGGCATCGCACAGCTTACAGTAGTCGTTCTCCGTGGCCAGGATCACTCTGCCCCCCGGCTTGCAGGAACCTGCCTACCAGCAAAGACAGGGAGAGAGTTTTTAAAACACAGAGCTGTGTCTTCGCACTCCTTCTGAGCCCTGAAAATAATCAAAGGTTGGGCATGACTACCACCACTAAGTGCTGTAAGAAAAGAAAATGACTAATCCCAGGGGGAAAGAGACAGCTCACCTGGGAGACCCTTCTAGTTCAGGATTACAGTCACATACCAAAAGCAGTGACGAGCTAAATGCTGCATCCATTGAAGAAACGTTTCAACAGTGTGAAGGTTTAGGGTAGGAGACAGGTAGATGAATAGGTGAGGCCTAAAATCTGCTTTCCTTTTTTTCTAGAGGAATGATTGTTCGGAATCCACCAATACTCATTTACTGAACACAAGCTGTTTACTGAGCTGGCCATCAATTCTGGAAGGTGTAAACAGCTGCATATGTTTTTAAAAGCTCCTGTCCCTTTAAAGTCTACAAGCCTCTAATGGGCATGTAACCAGGGAAATATAACTAGCAAGCCAGAAAAGCAGTGATGGGCTGGACGCTGTGTCAAAAACACATAAAAGGGAACCACACTCAGTAGGCATTCAATTGCACTGAGCTAATGAAAAGTTACAAACTAAACCTGGGATACATGAGAATTACATACATGCTGAAGACTGTAGGATCAAACTACATCTGGAACAGTTCAAGAAAACAGCACAGTTTGACCTGGAGGAGATCTCCGGGGTCAGGGTGGCATCTTCAATGATCTGTGCCACACAAGGAGGCTTAGGCTGTTTTCTCTGGACAGGGCCAGTCACTCGACACCAGAGAAGCCTTCAGGAACCCAACAGTGTTTTTGAAAAGTTCTTGGCAGGGTCCTTTGATTCCATTTCAGACGTATCTCATTTTCCCCATAAACGTGAGGCACATCAAGAGCTGCTCTCCATGTTATAAGCACTGAAACACTCAGGAAAGTAGCATTATTCCTTGGCAGTTAGGAACAGCAGGCCGAGATGACAGGAAATTCCTGCTCTACAACATTACAAAGTATGTATCATGGTGGAAAGTTACTTGGCTTTCCTGAGCTTCTAATAAGCTCCCCATGAGGCTCGTGCTTGCTGGCCCATGGGCCACACTTTGAATAATAAGGTCAATGCTTGTAAGTTGTCCTGCGCACTAAATGAGGTCAGGACCCAATACCAGCATGAAGCGAGTCAGAAACTTATCAGGTGTGCAGAATTTAAGATAGCATCAAAAGACTCAAGCAATATAGGTAAATCATACCTTAATGGAATATTTTTTAAGAATCAAACTTAATTCAAAAAAATTAATGTTGAACAAAATACAATGCTGAACTTATTTTATATTTTATTTATCTATTTATTTATTTAATTTATTTATTTATTTGTCTTTTTGAGACAGGATCTCCCTGTAGCTCCAGCTGCCTGGAACTCATTCTGTAGACCAGGCTGGCCTCAAACTCACAGAGGATCTGCCTGTCTCTGCCTCCCGAGTTCTGGCATTAAAGGCATGTGCCACCACACCCAGCTTATTTATTTTTTTATGGGTATAGTGTATTGCCTGTATGTCTGTAAGTGCACCTCTCTCATGCAGTGCCCTCAGAGGTCAGAAGAGGGTGTTGTATCCCTTAGAACTGGAGTTACAAGCAGTTGTTAGCCACCATATAGGTGCTGGGAACTGAACCTGGGTCCTCTGCAAGAGCAGCCAGTGCTCTTAGCAGCTGAACCATCTCTCCAGTCCCCCTTTCCTGGGATTTTTACATGGGTTCTGGAGATGGAACTGAGCTCTTCGGACTGAGCCAGCCCTAGGCTTATCAGCTTATTATTTATGACGACTTTACAGATCTGTGGACAATAGCATTTCAAAGACAGGTTAAGGAATAGAATCTGCATTTCAACAGCAAGGAAAATGCAGGAATATCTTGCCTGAATGACCTGCCCTGTCTTCCAAAGAGCAAAGGAACTGGACTCCAGTAGGGCTCCAAAGGCCAAGTTCAACAAGCATCTACACTAGCCTGCACAGGTCAGTAAAAGGCACTCACTAGGAACTCATCTTGCAACTAGAGGCAAAGTGCAACACAGTGGGGTCGAAGCACCTGCAGCGGAGGCGGAAACACAAACAGGAAGCAGCTGTGGTAAAGGTCCATCTTTTGTGCAAGGCCCTGGGTTCAAGTCCCAGTACCATAAAAACAAATTAGATTCAAAAAGTAAACCCAGGCCTTGTGGTACCCACAGTCCCAGCCCTGGGGTGGCAGACACAGGAGGATCAGGAATTTAAGGTTATCCTCTACTACATAATCAGTTTGAGGCCAACCCAGGCTATACAAAACCCTGCCTCAATAACAATTTTTTTTTTTTTTTGGTCTTTTTGAGACAGGGTCTCCCTGTAGCCCCAGCTGTCCTGGAACTCACTATGTAGACCAGGCTGGGCTTGAACTCACAGAGATCCACCTGCCTCTGCCTACCAAGTGCTGGGATTAAAGACATGCACCACCATGCCCGGCTAAGAAATTCATTTATTTATTTATTTATTTATTTATTTATTTATTTATTTATTTATTTATTTATTTGTATGAGTATATTGCCTGCATGTGTGTAAGTACACCTGTGCCAGTGGTCAGACAAGTGGGTTGGATCCCCTGGAACTGGAGTTATGGATGGTTGTGAACACTGGGATCAATAACAATTTTTAAAATTCATTTTAATTTCATTTATTATCTCATGTGTATGATGTGTGTGTGTGTGTGCAGGCACATGCATGACATGTATGTGTACCATAGTGTGAATGGAAGTCATAGGTCAGTTCTCTCCTTCTACTATTAAGGCACAGCCAAGACATTGTGGGTCACTTAACCTAAAATTCTGAGAGATGTATAAAAACTGACATAATGGGGCTGGAGAGATGGCTCAGCAGTTGAAAGCACTGGCTGCTCCTGCAGAGGACCCGGGTTCGATTCCCAGTACCCACATGGCGGCTAACAACTGTTAGAGTCCAGGTCAGCAGCAACCCTTCCCCAGCGCAGGGCCTCTTGAAAACAGGAGTTGAGTCAGCATGAGTCAGCATAGTCTGTTTCCCCAGTCAGCATGAGTCAGCAGTCTGTTTCCCCAAGTCAGCATGAGTCAGCAGTCTGTTTCCCTGAGTTAGCATGAGTCAACATAGTCTGTTTCCCTAGTTGGCATGAGTCAGCAGTCTGTTTCCCAAGTCAGCATGAGTCAGCAGTCTGTTTCCCCAAGTCAGCATGAGTCAGCATAGTCTATTTCCCTGAGTTAGCATGAATCAGCATAGTCTGTTTCCCCAGTCAGCATGAGTCAGCATAGTCTGTTTCCCCAGTCAGCATGAGTCAGCATAGTCTGTTTCCCTAAGTTTTTCAATATATGGACTCCCACCTCTTTCCCGCCCTCTGCACCCCTATAAAAAGCTATTTTTATCTTTCCCACCCTCCACACCCCTATAACAACCTCCAGCCAGCAGCTTGGGACCTAGTGGCCTCCTCACTCCCGAGCTGAGAGCCACCCTGTGTGATCTTCCAAATAAACCCTATCCGGCCGGAATTCTTGTCTGTGTCTCGGTTTTTACCTATCTACAGCCATCCCTAATTTCAGTTACACAGAATTTGACACCCTCTGACCTCCACAGGCATTGCACGACACGGGTGCACTTACATACCTGCAGGCAATATACTCATATACATAAAAATAAATAAATTGCTGGGCATGGTGGCGCATGCCTCTGATCCCAGCACTCGGAAGGCAGAGGCAGGCAGATCTCTGTGAGTTCAAGGCCAGCCTGGTCTACATAGTGAGCTCCAGGCCAGCTGGGGCTACAGGGAGGCCCTGTCTCAAAAACACCAAAAATTAATTAATTAACTAATTAAAACAGATGTAACAATGTCTGTTCCATCATCTCATGTGTCATACATAGCACAGGTGAACAAGGTCTCAAGGTTCAGAGATTCTGGAAGAATCAAATCCAGCTTCCAGCTTAAAAAGTCAAGAGTGCAAAGAACCTTCAGGGCATCTCGCAGATGGCATCTGATGGCACAGGGATGAGACTACCCATGATCACTGCTACTCTGGGCACACGTGGCTTACCTGGGGAGGGACAGGAACAAGTGTGGGGGCTGCAGGCTCTGCCACGCTGCTCACCCTGGCTGGAGGAGGACAGCTATTGGCTGCATAGTAATTTCGAAGTTTCTTGCCATGATTTTTACCCTAGAGAGAAACACAAAATGGATAACCACCTTGGGGACAGTTTGCCAGACTGAGTTCATCAATACATTCCCACAAGCAGTGCTAAGCATGTTGAGCCTTCCTGGACACTCAGCACTGGCAAATAGAAGGCTGGCCAGATCTGATCCATTTTGATGCATAAGACATCATCCTAGTTTGCTTTCTGTTGCTTATAAACACCATGACCCATGGCAACTCGCAGGAGGAAACAGTTTATTTCAGTTTACACTTCCAAGAAACCATGGAGGAGGGATGCTTGCTAGATCAATTTGTGGCTCACGCTCAGCCTCCTTGCAGCTCACGACCACCTGCCTAGGTAGAGATGGAGCACCCACAGTGGTCTGGGCTTTCCCACATCAATCAAGAATCAAGATAACCTCTGGGCTGGAGAGATGGCCCAGCAATTAAGAACACTGGCTGCTCTTGCAGAGGATCCACCCACAACTCCAGTTCCAAGGGTTCCAACACCCTCTTCTAGCCTACAAGGGCATTACACACACATAATGAATGCACTTACATGCACATAAGCAAAACACTCATTAATATATGATAGGTAAAAAATGTGGGTCCAAATCAGGAGAAACACAGAGAAGAACTCCAGCGGGATACTTTATTGGCAGAGAAAACACAAGGGACAGTTTCGTATTCGGGATAGAGGAGCTGTCAGTTTACAGGCTGTTGGCTGGGGGCTTTTATAGGGGGTTTAAGGGGATGTGGAAGGCAGGAAGATATTTCTTAAAACAAGCAGGGAAGAGAGTCCAGGGCTTATCAGGAGAGGACAGCCTCTGTCAAACAGACCCCTTCCTTCAGCCAGGATCTGGGTCATGGGATAAGGGGTTTACACACTGTGAAACTTATCAGGGGGAAGTAGCTTGTACTGAGACAGTTCCTACATCAGTGGGTCTGGGGTGCAGGGGCCTGTTTATCTTTTAAGATTATCAAAGAGGAAGCAGGCTGTGCCGAAACAGCTCTTATAGCAATCGGGTCTTGGGTTATAGGTGTAGGGAGTCTGTTTATCTTGTCTGCAGGCGGTCAGGGTGCTCACTAACTCAGTCCCTGTAATTCCAGAGGGCTTGCAAAACCATGAGGCCCTGTTGCATTGGGGAGGGGGTTGCTGTAGATCCAAACCCTAACAATATATATAAAATAAGTCAAACAAGCCAGGCGTGGTGGCACACGCCTTTAATCCCAGCACTCAGGAGGCAGAGGCAGGGTGATCTCTGTGAGTTCAAGGCTAGCCTGGTCTACATAGCAAGTTCCCAACAGCTGGGGCTACAGGGAGACCCTGTCTCGAAAAGACCAAAAATAAACAAACAAATAAATAAATAAATAAATACTAAAATAAGTCAAACAAAACAATTTTAAATAATCAAGACAATCTCTCACAGACATGCCCACAGACCAATCTGACCTGGGAAATTCTTCAGCTGAGGTTCCCTCTTCCCAGGTGTCAAGAACAACTAACCAGGTCAGAGCCTATTTATCTGGAAAAGATCAAAGAATGAAGCCAGAAGAAATGAAACCTCTCTAAGCTTCTGGGAAAGTCTGTCACCCCCCAGTTGGTGGTGTCCTCCCTGCAGCCTGTCACGGTTTGCACACAGCTGCATCACAGGACTCTCATGACACTCGGATCAGCCTACTTCAGAATCAGGTAATGAGACACATAATCTGATCATTTTACAAAACTGGCACTCACTGAGGGGTCTTGACTTAGAAAGGACTTCCACGAGACCTAGCTCATTCACTACTCACAGAAATCCTATAAGGATCTCTGACCCCCATGCCTGCCAGCCGAGGCTCTGCAAAGGTGGCCACATGCCCTCAGAAGGACGAGGGAGCAGAGCTACGACTCAAAACCTTCTCAGCCCAAAACACTGCCCTTCCCACTGTAACCCTCTGCCAAGTCAGACTGGCCTTCCTTAAGACACCTCAAGTTATCATTCATATGATTATATTCCTTGAGCTCAAAAATACAAACTGGTGACAAGGATCAAAACCTCTTTGATGGGGCTAGAGATGGCTCAGCAATTAAGAGCTCTTACTGCTCTCATAGAGAACCTGGTTCAGTTTCCATCACCCACATCAGGCAGCTAACAACCACCTGGAACTCCAGTTCCAGGGGATACAATGCCCTCATCTGATCTCCACAGGCTCCTGCATACAAGGTGCACACCAACTCACACAGACAAATACATATACACACAAATTTTAAAAATAAATCTAAGGGGCTGGAGAGATGGCTCATAAGTTAAGAACACATGTTGTTCTTCCAGAGGACCCAGGTTCAATTCCCAGCATCAAATGGCAGCTAACAACCATCCATAACTCCAGTTCCAGGGGATCTAATGCCCTCTTCTGGTTTCTGCAGGCACTGCACACACATGGTTCACTTACAAACATGTAGGCCAAACACTCATACACACAAAATAAAAATAATAAATAAAATACTTAAAAATAAATAAATCAGCCGGGTGTGGTGGCACACACCTTTAATCCCAGCACTCAGAAGGTAGAGGCAGGTGGAGCTCTGTGAGTTCAAGGCCAGCCTGGTCTACATAGTGAGTTCCATCTAGGACAGCTGGGGCTAAAATACAGAGAAACCCTGTCTCAAAAAGACCAAAAAATAATAAATAAATAAATAAATAAATAAATAAATAAAACAAATAAATAAATAAATAAATAAATAAATAATAAATTTTTAAAGCATACTGAATGAGAGAGAAACAGTTCATTGTTAAACCAGGCCATAAAATTCAAACCCACCCCAACAGTTACCATCCACTGCCTGCGAAACTCTAAAAGTGAACTAAAGACCAGTTCACAGCCTAGAGACAGATACGTGCACAGTTAAAGCTGTGAACCAAGTTCCATCCTCTGCCACCTGAACGCCCTAGTCTGCTCTTCCCATGGGATCACCAGAGAGACAAGATCATGTTCCCCTACCTTACATGAACGCTAAGCAGCAGAATACAGGACTCTCCCTCCTTCCCTTCTTGGTGTGCTGTCTTCTGTAGCTCCCTCTTACCTCACTCCACCTGTCCTCCTCACCCACATCTCGAGCTCCACGGTGCCCAAGGTCCCACCCTTGGCACCCTTCTCTCCCCATCTCGGCTCCAACTCCAGCATTAATTCACCCAGCATCCCAACTTTATAACGTAATAAAAAAGATTGTATGTTTTGGTTTTGTTGTTTTGAGGCAGTCTCTTGGAGCATAGGCTGACCCTAAACTCATTATGTAGCTCAGGATATCCTGAACTCCTAATCCTCCTGCCTCTACCTCCCTAGTGCTAGAATTACAGGTGTACAAAAAGCATGACCTGTTAACCTGCCTCACTGGCCTGGTTTCCCTCAAATACGCTGAGCTCCTCTGACTACAAGGACGAAGGACCCACTGTACCTTCTACTCAGAGCATGGCTACCTCAGATCTCCGCACAGCCACCTCCCTCTCAGAGTGGGATCTCTTCTTACATCTCTCAACATGATGCTGTGTCACATCCACCCCTCCCTGTGACATACATATGTACACACAAACAAGCACACATGTGCACACACAAATACACACATAAGTATGCACATGCACAAACAGATGCATGCACATATGCATGTCCACATGCATGAACATGTGCACACAGGCATGCACATGTGTGAACACACAAACACACACATGCACACAGCCTCTATCATATTACCGTACTGTTGGTTTTCACTTTATCTTATCACCACTCACCACTATTCAAAATAATGATTTGTTTATTTATTTTTCTTCTTTCCTCTGAAATATAGACTCCTTAAAAATAAGGCCCTCCACTGGGTGTGATGGTGCACACCTGTAATTCCAACTCAGAAGGCAGAAGCAGGTGGATCTCTGTGAGATCCAAGGCCAGCCTGGTCTACATAGCAAGTTCCAGACCAGCTGTGGCTACAGGGAGACCCTGTCTCAAAAAGACCAAAAAAATGACAGGTAAAGATGCCGAGCAGAGGGAAAGCGCCAGCAAAGGTCTGAGGTGTGAGGGATCCTGGGCATGGGGGCGGGGGGGAACCAGGAGACGGGGACACAGCCTTGAGCAGAGAGCTGAGAGCTGAGTCAGGCAACAGGTTTTCCAATGTGGCTCTAGGATCCCTGATGGGCAGGAGTGACACAGGCCACAGAGCCTCTGAGACAAGACTGGAGACCAATCTAGACTGTGTTGGATAAAGATCACCCAGGATCAGCACGGGAGTCAAGGAGAGCACTGGGAAGACCAGAGCCACGACTAGGCCCTGGAACATTACAGCAGAGTGTGGGAAAGAACCAGGATCCAGAAAATGAGGAGTCGGCCAGCCTGTCAAGTAAGATGGAAACCAGACCACTTATCACAGAAACCAGAAGCAACCGGACTTTACAAGACAGACATTGCTGGAACGGGCCACAAGTGTGGAGAGTATCAAAAGCCAGGGAACCACAGCTTCAAAAACAGAGCTTTCAAACCAGACCTGGAGCAAAGACGAGGGCTAGAAGGAGACAGACACAGAGAAGGCCATGACACAAGAACGGCAAAGAAGATGAAACCAGTGGTTTCCAGATGAAACCGAAATGAGGGAGGGAGGGAGGGAGGCCACCAGTAAGTGTGGACACAACTCATTTCAAAATTCGAGGGAGGAGCGGGTGCTTCGGTCTGAAAGTTTTGTCCCGCCAAAACTCATTCTGAGATTGAATTGCCAACGCCACGGTACTGCAAGAGGGGCTTTTAGAGACAGCTATGGTCACAGGGGCTTGGAATTCATGAAGGAGTTCATTAACTGCCCCCCAACCCCGTGCACGCGTGCACACGTACGTACACACACACACACACACACACACACACACACACACACACAGTGGGTTAGTTATTACCAGAGCAGACTGCTGTCAAGCAAGCCAGTCTCCCACCTGTCATTCGGCCATGAGCACTCCCTCCAGACGGTCTGCCTCCCTCTCACTTCTCCAGGCACAATGCATCAC